TAGTAGGCGCGTAGTATGGCCTCTACATATTTGCATGTATGAGTTTCTTAGTGCCCACCACATCTACGATCAAGTAGCTTTCAGGACGTCTTCTTTCTTTCACAACCAAAGGACCAAACAATTTCGGCTGCATTTTTCCTTTTAATGCATCCTGCATCACAAGTACCTGATACCCTTTGCTGAACTCCTGTTTTTTAGCTCGGAAATTGTATCTGTGGGCATACCTTCTTTGTATTTGATCACATCGTTCATCCACCACCCTCACGGCCTCACTAACTATTTGCCGAAGATATTCAAGATATGCCACTGCTGGTTTGTTCTATTCCGAGGGCGGTGTCCACTTGGCCGTCTAAGATTTGCGCAGATACTGAGTGGGCCATGAGGGGACCGACCATACATGAGTTCGAATGGCGAAACCCGTGTGACGCCGTGTTCAACTTCGCGGTAAGTCCACAGCAAACAGAGAACATAGCCGTCCCAGTCCTTTACATGTTCCTCTAGCACTTGACGTTACATGCCTTTAAATGTGCCATTCGACCGTTCAACAATACTATTGCTCTGCGGGTGATCAGGAGCGGCAAACTTCATCGCAACTCCTAGCCTTTCCATCAATTGGGTGGTCAGTTTCGCTGTAAAGTTCGCGCCCTGGTCGCTGCATATCAACTCCTGTGTCCCATAACGGGCGAATACCTCAATCAGAGCGTGACATGTCGCCTTAGTCGTTATGGCACGTAAGGGTATAACCTCGGCCCACCGAGTGCAAAGGTCTACTACACTCAAGGCATATTTTTGGCCCCGCGATTATTCGTGCTCCATCGGTCCTATACAGTAGAGATAAACGAATTCAAACGGCTTTTGTGGACGATTGAGGGGCGTTATGCGCACATGGTCTGTTGTCAGTTTACGTGAGTGCACCTGGCAACCATTCCATGTCCGACAATGACGCTTCACATCCGACACTCGTGACGGCCAAAAGAAGGCACTCTTGATGCTTTTCTTTGTCTTTTTTTCAGAAACGTTACCTCCTCACGGGATATTATGAGCTAATGCGAAAACTTCAGTGCGACGAGGCTTCGACAGCACCAGTTGCAGCCGTTGTTTACAATCCAATGACTCCTTGTGAAACAACAGCTGCCCCTGAATGACCATGCCTTGGGTCCCGGCCTTCGCCTGCTGCCGTGCATCTGCTAACGGTTCATCGTCCATTTTCTCTTTCGCAAATGAGCCTTCAGTAGGTGGTGTAGGCTGCTCCTCCTCTTCCGTGTGACCCCCCTGCAGGAGCTTTGCTGCAGCACCGACGTTAGTTACGCTAACGATTTCTTTTCGATCCTCTGAGGGCTGTTCAACCTCGTCGCACTCCACGCTGTCTCTGTAGTAATCATTTTCTATCTTTTCATCTGGTCCAACTCTGGCTCCACAACGTGCGCTACCTTTAAAAACCTCGTTCGATTCCTCACTATCCTCAAGAGGCGCAGCGTTATCGGTGCTAGTATGGTCTACAGACTGTACCCCATATTCTCTCGCGAAAGTTCCCTCTTGCTTCTGCGGTACCTCCACCAATGCACATTCGCCGCCTTCGGTATCATCCTCTGGCTCATACGCGGCCAGGCGGTGACACTCGAAATCTTCGTAATTGGCTGTCGAACACTACACCAATATATTGAAATTCTTTTGCATGCTCAAGTTTGCAGTTCTTCATTGTAAGTCGAAATGACTTGCAGTTTACATTTCGGTAACGGGAATGAAAAATGGTGTATTTGGCTCTTTTTGCATTAAGTGTTATTTGTTCCCCGTAAACCACATACAAATATTTTTTAGTTGTTTATTAGCTCTATATTTTACATCGGCTATGTTATCGGCAGTAACTTCACGTACTAACCTGTCCCTCCCGTTTCTCTTCGTGACGACGCGGCATGATGGGATACAAGTGAATATTTCAGTTCCTCGATTTCCAGCTCAAGCTTGAGAGCATCAATCCGGAGTTTTAATGACTCTGTGCTACTCAATTTATCTTCTGGAGCGACACCAGCATCCGAGCTGTTGTCCGTGTCGTTTATATTTCAAGACTCCCAGAGAGTGCCGGAACGTAAATGCATTCACTACAGAGCCATCATAAGAGAGCCCGAAACGTATCTCACCATACGATGTGATGCTCTCTGCCAGCTGCTCCTGTAGCTGCTGGCCTTGGCGTGTCCGGAAGACCCTTTGTTTCGCGACTGCCACACGTCTGATGGCACCGAAGTTCGATGAGGTGTTGAAAAAAAACAAAAACAAAAAGAATGCACCACACAATTGCCACACCGCAGCAGTGTTACGATGTATTCTGCGCTACACCTTGTCGGATTACTGGCGACACCAAGCGAGCTTCCTCTTGGCGCTGTTATCTGCCTGACAAGGCCTCCCTCACCGAAGTGCTAATGCCGTGACGATTGGCACCTGCCTCTTGCGGACGCTCTTTCTCCGACCTCCTTCAATACCGACCACACTCTGGCCGTGGGCTTCTTCAGGCTCGCTCTGAGTATTCTAACTTCTTCCAACGGTCTAGGAAGTCAGCTATTTTTCGCGCCTCTTCACTAGTGCACCAGTGCCTTCAAAGTCGGCCGAGTTGCGGTGATCATGTAGCAGCTCACCTTCACCAAGGCTCCGGTGTTATCCTCGCTGTGGGTGACAGCCCCTTGGTGATCCGAGTGCACGCTGGCAACGCGATTGAAGCGCCAGAGCCTGGTTTAGCCAGCGTTTATTGCACGACCATCCGCTTGGGCCGCGCCCAACGAACCCTTTGTCCCGTTTTCCAACCGCGCGTTCCCGTGCAGTTGAAAGACAAACATAAAGAAAACACAGAGTATGAGATCCCCCTCTTCCTTGCTCTCAGCAAGGAGGAACGGCATTCTCGAGACGTTCTCTTTCGGGCGCAACACCCGTGTTGGCCATTATGGCCAACGGACCGTAACATGATCTCGCGCTTCTGCTCCTCAGTCGGGTCAGCCACATGGCGCGGACCACAGCGCTCGCCTGGCCGTCCCGAAATCGGCTGCGGTGGTTCGCTTCCCCGGTAGAAACTCCCAAATCAATAATTCAGGGAAGCTGTCACCGCCTTCAAGCCAACTCTACCGACGACCCCCTGAGGCGTCGGCTTCTCGGACCTGCATGCGCTGCAACCTTACAGCTCGAAAACATATTTCAAGAAGTTCACGCACTCTGAGACTCACTAAATCAATGGAGCAAACGGGAGTTTTGTGTTGGTCTCCCTCGTTGGTGATAAACGGTATCAGATCGTGAATTAACATTGTTTCTCCAACCTTTTATTTACGTAACTTCCCAATGAAGTAGAATTCTGGTCTTAGACCCTTACTACACCGATTGTGTAGTACACCGATTGTGTGTCGTGGGAGAGTACGGTCATAATTCCGGTAGTATGAAACCACTATAAAGCTTAATGCAGCTAGTTCTCGTGTACAGTGTACATAATGACTAAAAAGAAAAAAAAACACAGAAACCATGGTAATGATTTATTTATATTGGGGGTTGAATGTCACAAAACCACAATATGATTTTGAGACTTACCGTAGTGGAGGGCTCCGGAAATTTAGACCACGTGGGGTTCCTTAACGTGCACGCAAATATGAGCACACGGGCCTACAACATTTCCGCCTCTATCGAAAATGCAGCCGCCGTAGCCGGGATTCGTTCCCGCGACCTGCGGCTCAGCAGTGACCATGTTTGGGATACATGGTATGAGCTTACAAAATTCCAGAAAAATTCATTGAGCCAGTGTCCCAGAAAGAGGTTAGGTACGCTTTGAAATCTGTGACATCCCGTTTCATGCATTCGGCGCGAAATTTACCAAAAATGAAAAGCTGCACCTCGAATTTCTGTGCTATCAACAAACCTGCAATGATCAGATAAACGGTATTAGTTTTGAGAATAAAGTTTAGTAATCTCACCTAATTTGTACGTTTATTATACTGTGTCTTTCGTTAAATGACTTAAAAGCGTTAGTTTAAACTGTAGTAGATGTGAGCGCAAACAGGAATCAGCCACAAGTGGTTAACAGGACTACATGAGCTATACTATACCTGTAGTCGCGTTCTCCTCTTTTGTATCACTTTTTTATTTTTTTGCGCTCGAACCTCTTTTTCAGCATCCCTTTAAACGACCCAATCATTGGGAATCATTACCCCCCGAGGCGATTTTGATTGATATGTGATTGATTGATGTGTCAGGTTTAACTTCCCAAAACCACCATATGATTATGAGAGACGCCGTAGTGGACAGCTTCAGAAATTTTGACCACTGGGGGTTACAGGGCAATTTTACATCTCTATGCTATACCAAGCACTTTATTTTTTCAGTGCACATGACACTTACGATTGTTTTATTTGAAAAGAAAAACGATTCAAACACTAGGTTATACCTGTCCTAAAACCAGCGCAGGGAAAACGCCCAACAGCCTTGTGGAGTGCGCGTGTTTTTATTGGACAGAAAGCGGTGTCTGAAACTTCATTGGTTTAGTATTAGCAGCGCGAAAATGTGCAGCGCATCTGCTATATGAATTAGCCCTGCGCACTTCCACCTGTTGTGGTGAAATTCGATGCTGACGCCCACACTTCGTTTCCGCCTAAGGCTTCACAAAAGCGCCTCTACATATACACGGCGATGGCCTGCGTGAGGCCTTTTCTGGAAGAGCTTTCATACATGATGCTATAATAACAAATAGGGGTTCTGCAAGTCTCGTAGGAGTGAAACTTACTTCTTTTATCATTTCCGCTATCATTTCTGCACTTGTGCTACCATATTGAGCAATATGTTTGGCCCTAAAGAAAGCTTCGAAAAGATACAAATTTTCGTTATCTGACTTAACTAAAGCATACACTTAGTGGAGGGCTGCAGTGACGTGATCGGCTATGTAAGGTTGCCATTATTCATTTGAATAGATGTGTTTGGCGTAATATGTGGTCACTAGATTTATTTTCGCTTTTATATGTACTTCACTTGCAGACATGGCATCGTGGGCGCGCCCCATACGGGACGGCGAATACACCAGCGTCATCTATGGCCTCATCCGCGAAGGCCGACTCATCGAAGCTGCCTCAGCGTTGGCGGACTGCAGTCGCCGACAGGGGGCGTTGGGAAGCCGTGCTGCGCTGTCGCTGCTTGCATTTTGTCACTACCAAGCACAGGTATAGAAATATAACCAAGGAATTCCGTCAGTAGAAATCTGTCCTAGACTCTCGAAAATCAGGGAAACGCGATATTCTTACAATGCTCTCACAATTTCTTTTTTTGAAGCGGCATAAATGTGAAGTTTGTTATAGAAATCATTCATTCACGGCTTATTTAGTTAACGCCAGCATATTTTACTGTTCTGCTATACCGTGTGCCTCGACCTCGAGATGTTATGTCCTCTTTACCAAATCTGTTCTCTAGATTATATATATGCATGCATGGGTGCTGCGTCACAGGTAGTGACGTCGGAGAAGACACCCTTTGTTTGGCCGAACTTCTGACATAGAAACTGTAGGTCAAACTTTAGCTACACACTAGCATAAACAGCGGCAAACAGATGGTCGGCCGTCTTTATTCTGATCATCGTTGGAACACGCCGTCTTTTATACATCATGCGTCAAATTTTACAGCTTTATCAATTGTAATCGCGAGAGCTCTAGAATAAGCTTGAGTGTTCGTGTCATGCAGGCAATCTTAACAAATTGACCTACCAAAGTCCTGAATCTTTTCGAACACCACAGGAGCGGTTTGCACTGCAGTTTGCTTACGGACATTGTAGGCGAATACCAAATACGTCAAAACGGTATAAAGAAACACGCGTAGCAATATGTATGCATGTATGCCTACTTGCCGGCATGCATGCATTCATGCGGCCGTTCATCTCTTTCTCTCTCTGTGTGTGTGTGTGTGTGTGTGTGTGTGTGTGTGTGTTTGTGTGTGTGTGTGTTTGTGTGCGCGCGCCAAGATAACACAAGCTGTCTGCATCAGCATCAGGCATTTGACCGCTCCATCAAGACTGCGAAGCAATAACATGTAGTGGAAGAAACCACGAGCCGCACTCCTCTTAACCAGCAGAGTGCCAAATTTATCATAGATTGTTGTTTTTGCAGTTTGAATTCTTGCTCCATTGCAGGAGTTCGAGCAGGCGGCCTCATGTTACGAGCAGCTGTGTACCCTTTGCCCAGAAGAGCCACGTTACGCGTTGAGCCGTGCACAAGCGCTATACCAAAGCGGACAAGCATACGATGAGGCCCTCCAGGTAGCAGCTGCTTTGGCAGAGGACAAGCCTGAGATGGCACCGGCTGCGAGACAGCTTCAGGCCGCTATCCGCTACGCACAGGTAAAGAGTTCATAGTCAATATGCGTGACAACAGCTGTACTTGCTCTATGATTACTGTAAGTGGTACACAGAAGTCATGAGCACATCAATTGTGCCGTGATTTTAAAATATGGATGGCCTACAGGCGAGTTTCTGGTACAACTGAAGTAAAGCAAGAATGTAGATAACTGTAGATGACATGCATCATTACGACACACACTTTTAACAAATTTGTATTGTGCTTACTGACTTTGAAGTAGTAAAAAGTCACAGCTTTGCTGCAAAGGCGAAGCAATGAACGTGATAGCAACACTTTGAAAGGTTAGGCGCAAAATGGAAATCAGATCGAAACGTTCCTCGCATGTCTGGCGCAGAAATTACACACGAAACGTACCCACAAGTACGGATGCACGCAAACAAGCGTCTCATTTGTTACTTCGCTGAGTCTGAAAAGCGCGAGCTTTTCGCGAACAGAGACTGCAATAAATGCAGTGACCTTTGCGCGCCCAGTATCTGCAGCAGAATTGTTCCACGTAAAGCCCGAGGCAAGCCAAGGCGTACGATCTTCCCCTCTTCGCCACCGCGAGATAAGGGCACGCGAGGAGCGTAGATTCCCCTTTCTATGCCGGGCAAACTACACGTAGAAGATTAGAGCGGGTGCCGTTGCGCGATGTGGCAACGTGCGCTCATTGCGCCATCTTTCTGGTAATGTCCGAAACACAGAAGCGGTAAGTGGTAGATATAATTAGCTTGCCGTTTGAGTGGAGAAGAATGTTTTCCGGGGTAGCTTACTGGTTAACGCCTCGCTTTCACGACGCAGAGGTCCCACGCTCGATTCATCGCGGCAGGGTGTTTTTTTTTCTATTTTTTGCGTTTTTACATATATAGATACGTAAACATATATGGTGCATGACATCGACGCCGGCGGCAAAATATTGCCGAGAGTGTCCATATATTTGCTTTCGCAATAATAGGAGGCTCAACATTCACTACATAATTAAGAACTGCAAAAGGTTAACGACAAGGTTGTTAACTTACTACTACGTCATTCACTACGTGCACTTACAACACACCAGAAGGTAGTAAGAGTAAGTAACAATACAACCACTGTTACTACTTAGTGACAGGCAGTCAGTAAAGCTGGTAACTTTATTAATGCGACAGCGTTAAAGAGCTCGTTTCGCAGATATTGCAGTTTCTATGCTTGTGAACGAAAAATGATCTTATGCATGACCGAGAAAGAAAAAACGGTGCAAATAAAATAAATAAATGATAAAAAAAGCATGGATCTCAGTAGGGACCGAACCAGAGCTGTTGGGGTCCGAGTGTGGCTCGTTTGCGTGGCAAGCGGATTTTCCACTACACGGCCATGCCTCTGCTTGTTAAAACAGTAATAAGAACTTTCTCTCCTTTGAAACGCAGTGAAATTAGCTTTCATACTTCACAAACACACGCGTCCAGTATACATACTTCACAATGCAAAATTAAATATTGCAGAAATATTGAGTGGTACAACGTCCATTGCCAATGGGCGTCAGAATTTGTAATTGTCATAATGGCTCCATGGTTGAAAGCTAAGCTGGTACACCACTACAAGAGGCACACACACTACTGCACCTATTCTCTTAAGCCCATTTATAGCGGGTTCATAGCAAATTTCAAAAGGTTTCATGCACTAAGGATTCGAAATACGTACTAAGAACAGTATGGCGCCATTGCGTTCAACTCCCAAAGGAGTTGAACGCGAGTTTACCAGTTCTCGTTAGCACGTGCAAGACGGAATTGCTTGTGAATTGTAAAGAGACACTTTCATGGAAGTTTCAAGCTGTCAAAAGAAATCATACACCGTTAGCAATTAGCCCCGAGAAGTTGGAGTGGCGCCTCCTGGTGGGGGCCCTGGGTGACGCACGTCACGGACTCTCCGATGCCCGCCGCCGCAAGCGTAAAAATAATCACGCTCTCGCTTCGTGCTCTGTTCCGCTGTTTTAGTTCACTTTCTGCTCCTCTGAAGCTGTACATGACGGAGGGAAACAAAATATGTATATTTTCTGGTAAAACAATAATTGTTTACTTTTGCTTCTGCACAATCACGCACTCGACCATAGGCAATATATAGAAGAGGTGAAAAGGTCTGTGTCGCGCTGATAACCCCAATAATGGATTACAATCTTGGCCACGGCAGCCGCATTCCAGCGGGTGTGAATAGCAAATAAAAACACTTCTGCTTGAGTACAACATTCATTGGCCCATAATCATGCGGTTTTGGGACGCAAAACACAATATTTAGGCCATTAGGTTGAGGGGTTCATGGGTGATTCCTATAGCATATATGAGGATTTACCCTCCTGTAGTGGTATTTTTATTGAAGGAATCCACGTATATGGACACACTTTCCGCTGGTGTGCTAAGACCCACGCCCGCTTGCATTATCGAGTTTCGCAAAATACATCGTATACATATGCGCTCACCCTGGAATGCCATCGCCGCTATTGTGTCTGTTTTTCTTGTGCACATGCTCACTAAACATGTCGTTCAATTTCATGTTTCCCACGCAAGAAACTTGAAGCTTCATTTCACCAACTTAATGAGGGTAAGTGCAATTGAGGTTGTGTGAGGAAAATAATTCTCATTGAGATCAGGTTATATCTTCATGTAGAATCACAGCAAGCACTCGTCACTACGAGTTTAGATATGCACCTCACAAACTAATTTTCTTTGAAGCTAATTTTCTGTATGGGGTCATGACTTATGAGACCAGCTCTCGTCGCCTTATCAAGGCAAGGTTGTTTATATATTACTTGGGCCAATTCGCTGACTTTGGCATCGAAAAGGTTCATTTCGACTTCCCGGTGTTTGAGTTGGAATTTCTGATATCAGCGGTGCTCCTGTGTGAAGCGAACAGTCCTGCTTGTGACGCGGCCGCAGATCACCCAAGCATTTCAGAAAAAAAGGGTATACAACTACACGATACCTGGCAACTGTTGCGAAGAAACATGTACATATAATCCGAGTAAACAGACATATCCCAAAATTTCCGGAATTGTTGTGTGTTGCAGTAAACTTTTTATTTTCCGAATATTTTAAGTCCGTGCTTATGGCAGTCATATTCATGTAAGGTCTCCCGTTGGAGAAAGCTCCATTCATTGTAATCATTTAGAGTTTTCGCAGACGCAGGCGTAACTTTCACGGCAAAGCGCAATGTATTTAAGGAATTGCAAATATTCTAATTTATTTGTGATATTTCTGCACACATTATTTCCCATTCGGGAGCCTATGCCTAGTTGTAATCATGTTAGCACCACTAAGCATATTTCTTCCTATAGCACCCATTTCTTGGTGTGCGCAATGAAAACAGCAGTTTTCACAGTACATTTGGCATTCGGATGGCAGTTTGCCTATTCTAAGTTAAATTATGCAAACTTTTCACAGCCTCGATAATTTTTGCTAGTTATGATTAACTTTGTATCTTGAGATATTTGCGTCACGCAATTGAGCAGTAATCACCAACGTATCGCTCAAGAGCGGGTATGTGGCCAGGGCGGCAAAAGGAGACAAGCGGCGGCGGATAATGGTGCCCTTGCCGTGCCGTCACATTGCCGCCACCGAAGTGACGTCAGTGTTTGCTCTCGGGCCTAATAAATGCTTTCTATTTACAGCGAGCACCGATGCAGATTTGCTACACAATCTGGCAAAGTTATTTGACTTCATGTACTATGAATACAGCATATTAGAGAATAAAGCTAAATATTACGAGCATGCATTGGCTAAACTCACAGAACTACAGCTTGCACACAAAGTATGAGTAGCAATTTATTTTATACCAAGTCAGTAAGCCTTAACGAACGCTTACAATGGTAATTGAAAAACAAAAATGCAAATCTTAAGGCAAACATTTATTGAAAAAAAAAACAGGAATGGCGGATGCCTTAATTCGGGCACCTCAGTGTTCCGCAGTACACAACTGTGAGGCAGCTAACTATGACGTTCGCCGCTTTAAGGGATGGAAAGAAAGTATGTATATCCTTTTCGATAGCGGACATAAAGACCCTTAGATTTGGCGATCTAGCGGATATTGAGGTTCAGGTTTTCCCGACTGCCAAGGTCTTTTCGTGGCCAGGCAGGCTGTCGCGAACCTCTCGCTCTCAAAGAGCTGCTTTTGGAGGTAACTGGGCTGAAGAGCCGATGAAGAGTACGAGAGGTTTAGTTACATAGTTACAGAACAATAATTCGAAACAGAAACTGACTCTCAGGCATTCGCCTGCCCCTTTGTAACCTTTCACAATCCCTTGACACGAGGCGTAGCGAAACGGGGAAAGCCGTTTTTACCCAATCAGGTTACCACTGTTGAAAGCAATTTTGCCGGCAACGGCCCCAACATACGCACACACACTTCACAAAACATGGGAGATGATTTGGTCTCCAACCAAAAGTTTTGAAGGAACCCGACGTTTCGAAACTGACTTATTTCCTTCCTCAGGGGTGACTGCGGAGGCTAAGTAGCAGCGGCGTCTTCAAAGCACTCACGGGATGGATAATGACCCCCCCCCCCTATCTCTCTCTCGAGTGCAGTCCGTGTGTATACAATGGGGGAAGGGTTCCGAGAGAGCAGTTGATGTTACGGGCTGTGCTCTGGATGTGCCACGACTCGAGTAACAAACCTTCTCCTCCAGTGGTTCGCTTTCAAGGATGACCGTCGCTTCGAAATTCATCTGGTGATCCAACGTCGCAGCATGTTCGGCGACTGCGCTGCGCTCTTTGTAGAACTTCCGCACATCGTTCGCGTGTTGCTTCAGTCGTTCCGGTAGGTTTTTCGTCTCGCCGATATACGACGAGGGATACTCGGTGCATGGAATATTTTAAACGACACCGGGGGTCCTGTCTATTGTTGGCCGGTCTTTCGGGTGGGGGAGGAGGCAGCCCAGCGTACACGAAGGCACGTGCGCGATGCGAAGCCCTTCCTCCTTGAAGATCCGCGCCAACATCTCGCTCGTTCCCTGAACGTATCGAACCGGTACGCGTTT